GCATGGTCAAGAGATGTAACTGCGAAGCTGAGTTCAATACGATTCGACGGGGATCGTCAAACAGCCCTTGAAAGTGGTGTCTCCTCTACTACAAGGATGAATACTACTAGCTCTCTCTTCATCACGGATTTGAAGAAATGATTGAATATAAATCGGTCGCTGACTGGTACCTATATATCTTCATTCAGATTATCTTCAGTTATTTTCTTTCTTTCGTGGGCAATATTGTTATCTATAGGTTTCGGATGCAGGGCATGATGATCATACGTCGCTACATGAATGTATGGGATTGTGTTCACGTACATAAAACCTTCAAAACACATCAGAAACATTGAGAGTGCACGACTCCTTCACAGAATCCTACCGTCACAGATTTTGTCAGATTTCAAGTTGTTGGACGTTTCTTATGTCGTCAATGGCGAAGTTCATCTAAGTCATCGCGTGTTCTTTAGATTGGCCGTCTGAGACGTCGACCATCTTATAATTTAATTATCTTTCAAAGCAATATCATCTCTAAAGAGGCTCCCAATCGCTACTCCGTTACCAGACATTGGCACTGTTGCATAAAAATTATCATTGGTTCTATGAACATATATTCGTCATTGGTTTCAGCTTAGAAAAACAATTGAGCGATGACTCACCTCTTCATCACCAGCATCAACATAGAAGGCACCAAAACCAATCAACTTTGTCAGATCGCTGACGGGGCCATCCACTGCAAATCGTTTCAATGAATCATGAGTTTAAGTAGATTTGATGTAACGTGTACTGTACTCACCTGAATCACTCTCGACACGTTTTACGAGTGCTGGAGCACCGACAGTAAAATGGACAACTGTGGATAAGAGAAAGGCAATGAAGATGGTGGTATACATAGTGTAAACTGCAGTATTCTAGGGAGGAGGAAAAGGTGTTGTAGTCCGTCATTGCTTTTATATTCGCAGCCTTCCATTCCGTGATGATAGAATATATCGAAGACAAGTTTGTTCTCTTATGATTGCGCCGGTGTAAACGGTAGTATCCCTGAGTTCTTCAGAGACATCTTGGAAAGGGACATTGACCGGTCAAATAGTGCCTCAGAATTAATCCTTCTTGAAAGAATTTTAGAGCGAGTGGATTGCGATGAGCACAGTTGAAGTCTTGAGTATCACACGTCCGACTTGGAGGACCTTCCGTGCCATAGATTGATTACAAGTGCATTGCACTATAGCACCAGTAAAATGATGAGCAACTACAGCGGTATTCGTAGTTTAGCCTAATCAAACCTTCGGACTGAATCCATGTTCTCACTGCCGGTGAGTCCGCCTGGCCGAAATGAGAGATTGTAGAGAAGGAAGTGACTAGTATGAATCGGTAGATGTAGTGTCGGTTGATGCATGATGGATTTAGGCCATCTTCGTGGCGTGAGAGGTCAGAATGTTGAAGAGGGAGAAGGATCTTTCCTTTGGCCGTGTACGAGGACAGTATCAGTAGGTTCATGATGATACTGAACCTTGCAATCCGGCGTCACATATCACATATGTCACATACCATTCAAGTTTCGTATCATGAACGGCCCGGGTTTCGTGTACGTATAGGTATAAAAATGTACTCACCTAGCGGCTGTCGGTGATAAAATTAGACAACGGTTCTATCAGTCTACTCATCGGAAAAAACTCGTTGATCTTATTGACAGAGGCAGAGAAGAGACAGCGTGATAACTGGAGGAGAAAATAGCGTGAAGTCTTCCTTTTGGACCCTACATAGATGAATAACCAACGTCGCGGATGTATCTGTTGATCATTATTCAATACCACCGCAGAATGGGAGCATATGGAGAGAAGGATTTTGACATATGCAGGGTCTCTACAGAACCTAAAGGCAGCGTCTGAAAGTTGAATGGATGGCCCCACGCACCAACGTGTATAGAATGATGATTGAAGACCATACCACTGATTTCTTCGGAGAAGTGATCGCGGATGAAACAACGATAGGCCGAGCGGCAGGCTATATGTATGTTACGGGGCAGTTGAGAACAAGTCCGCAATCTCTCCTCCAAACAATACGGCCATTCGATACCGGCGAAGATGCAAGAGTTCACTATCGTGCGTATAACAGAGCTCACAGGTCAGTAAATACTCGCATTTACATCTAGCGAAACATCACGTGCCTGCCTATAGATCAAGTGATGGAAGAGTGTGTCGATTTGTTCATTCATTCCTTCGGGATTGGTAGGTCTTAATGCCTGTAATGCCTAATTACATAACTGAGAAGAGTCCAGGAGCGCCGGTTTTCGACTCCATTACGGAGAAAAACCCCAAATTCAGAGATACTTTCGTCCGTTCCAGTATCTTCTCTGTTCTAAACGATGCGGGAGGTGAGTATTACGTGGCTAGAGATAGTTGTGGTAAGGCTGTAGGTGGAGCGATGTGGTTCGGACCTGGTGGTACAGTATATAGCAGGTAAGTCAACAAAAAAAGCACTCCGTATTACGCACCCAACAGTTCCTTTGTAGTCCCAAAACCAGGCAATACTTCATAGACACGTTGCTATCCAAAGTGTCAGATGAAACGCGAAAGTGGTGGCTGGAAACGGTGATATAGACTAATTTAACAACGTGGTCTCATCAGCTGAATGTACAACTTATAGTTCGGCCCAACGGTCAGTCGAATAACAAAACAGGCACTACCACCAAATGTATGTCGACGAATTTTGCCCAACTTGAATCCGAACTTGAACGCTGATACTCTTCTGGCTAGGGAAACGTCGATGCATGGCATCTACTGCTCATCGGAGTCCTCCCTGAGTATAGAAGACGCGGTATTGCAACGTCTTTGATTGAGACTGTCGAACATAAGGTCAGTTTGGATAACACTGACCGAATGCATATTATTCACAGTATTTTAGGCACATGGGTCATTTCTTTCTGTGACTGCAGCGGAAAATTACACGGTGAGAATACCTTCTCTGATTGACAGAATGTAAAAAAGACTGACGGAGGAAGATTTGGTAAGGCCGAATTCTACCAAGGACTTGATTTTGAGATTGGCGGGCAAGATGAGATATGGACACCTGCAGGACCTCATATACCTGTCTTCGCACTGAAGAAGAATGTACAGCTTGGGTGAGCTCCCCAAGCAGCGAATATTCAAATAAATCATTAGATGGATTCAGAGGACAAGGCAAACTAAAGGTTGATTTTATGTGAAAGTAAACTTTGAGCCAGATATTTCTTGTGTTGTGTATTCCAAGTAAGCCAATACCACCGCATAAGATTATGGATCTTGAGCCGTTCAATCAAGGAGAACAGTTGTAGCAAGCGTGCTAGATATGTGAAATTTGCACAAACATGCACATTTAGAGTGTGTGTATCTTGAGATCCCGCTTGGGAACTGTAGCAATTAATTCTGCAGTTGAATCGGATGTGACAATCGTAACCTAGCAGAGATCCAGGTTGAGATAGCACTCGAGCAATTTGACAAAAAAGGAGACATCGACTGCTTGGCAGGCCTTCGGTTCGTCGTCGGTTGCAGACCACCTCTCCGCAACCACTGGGTAGTGTGAATTCTGGAGCGATATGTTATGCACATATCCACGTATTCGAGAAGCGGAAGGAAGGGTGACGTCCTGTCCTCGCCTTGGGGAATCCTGATGGTTAGAGTCCGATTGAATAAGTGCTTCTAGGAGAATTCAGACTAAACCTTCGAAACGACAGAACATCGTAACATAGTCTCTCTCGATATCGCCGGGGATCATCAAGAATCAGAATAAGTGAAAATATCTCTTGAGGGAATTTGGGACCTTCAGCCATTGAGACGATACTTGTAAATGTGAAGTTGAAAACAGACAATGGTGTCTAGGTTGGAAGAGGTAAGTAAGTAAGGCCTACTAATACTTGATCATAGCACGGTGTGGTAGAGTGAGAAAGCTCACTCGTCGAAAACTAATTTTTCTTTGTTTCTTATTTAGGTCACTAATCACACCAGAAGAAGCGGGTTGAAGAATCGAGCGCCTTCAAGCTTCAAACGCGACGACGAACTTTCACCTTCAACGACGACCTCAACTTACTTCAAGATGCCCTAACTCCTCAAGTACTCGCGACCGCAATTCCTCAAGACTCCGGAATCATCAAGAATAAATTATTCTACTGTCTTCGAAGGATCGGGCTCGGCGGATGGTTGAGGCACACGGTGTCTTCTTTTTATTTCATTTTCATATGTTTTTCCTTTATTTTTCTTTCACTTCATTTTTGTTGGGCTTGCCTTGGGTGAAAGTAGCCGAATGCACACGGAAAGTAGGGGTTGAGGGTGCCGAGCACTGTACACACAACCTGGGGCAGTTGTGGAGCTTTGAGGGGAGCTCTTCATACTTTTGTCACGCCGGTACTTCTCCCTCGAGCAATTGTCCGTAGCATGAGGCTACTGAAACCTTTGGTGAGTTACTCCTTTCAGTTTGTTTGGTGATGTCAATGGCGCGGCAGTTCCGTTTTTCATTCTTTATCTCATTTTATTTGATTTTATCTTCGTTTTTCATTGGCTACCCGAGAAGGAGGCGGCAGCGTGAGCAACGCGTGCCGCAATTCCGTTTGTACTTAGCCCGCCGTTCGCGGCGGTGAGCTCCCTATTCAACCTTTTGACTCGAAAAGTCCACTGCGTGCTGAATCCCGTCTAACGCGACGGTTATCGAAGTTTTGTTGAAGTTTTATCTTAAGTTTTACACCAGTTACTCTACCTCCCTCAAGATCTCCCTCCACAGCTCCTCCTTTTTCCCCCGACTACTCTACCAATACCTCAAGAAACACTGTCGCCGCTAACGCGGGGTGTTATTTTTCATTCTACTCGTATACTCACACACGCACGGGTTCCGACCTCGAAACGGATCTACGAACGCGCGGCCAATTCCTCTACAACGGTGGTAATACTAATAGTGGTAGTCTACTGTACTAAGAATCAATAAAACGAACATCGGGGTGTACACAAAATTATGGATCAATATGCTTTCACTCTCGCAGAAAATTCATCGCCGGGATAGCTCAGCTGGGAGAGCAGTAGACTGAAGCGGCTCCTTCGTGTTCTAAAGGTCCTGTGTTCAATCCACGGTCCTGGCATTATTTTTTACCTCAGACTTTTACCTTTTAAACGCGTGAACCAAATCGAACCAAACATCGACCTCACCGCTAAGATAGGCGTCTCTCTGCCTCACGCAGGCAACATACGTGCCCAGGAAATAATGGGCTTATACACTTCTTACTATGCCTTTGGGCTTCCCTCTTTCACTGTTCTAGTTATTGCTTTATATCTGCTCTTCACAGGTTAGCACGTTAAACGGGTTTCACCACGAAGAATAATGTGAAATTGAATTTACATCAATGAACAGGTTCCGGTGAAGCTTTCAATGTTGGTCGGTTTTTGGAAGAGACTAGTCCGTATGCATGGGCTTCGATGGGAATTGGACTTTGTATTGGATTAAGTGTGCTAGGTGCTGGATGGTGAGTTCATCTTCACTAACATCACTGAACGCGACTCAAACGTTGCGTGCTTTGTTGGCAGGGGTATATTTATTACAGGATCAAGTATTCTTGGTGGTGGTGTTCGTGCACCCAGAATCAGAACCAAGAATCTCATCAGGCAAGTTACTTTCGGGTGATTCGATAACAAACGATCATGACATTTTTCTACTCCAGTATCATTTTCTGTGAAGTCGTAGCAATCTATGGTGTCGTACGTACCACGTCGTTAATCCCCGTTCCCCACACAATTATATCTGTCATTTCTACAGATCATTGGGATCGTCTACTCCGCAAAGATTGCCCAAATTCAAGAAGCGTCTCTCTACACTCGAGAGAATTACTTCACCGGTACGTCTCTGTCACTCATCCATCCTAATGCGAACAAATCTTACTGCATCTCCTCTCCTGTGCAGGCTTCGCGCTATTCTGGGGCGGACTGACGGTTGGAGCATGCAACCTTCTTTGCGGTATCTGTGTTGGTGTCTCCGGAGCGACCGCAGCACTTTCAGACGCAGCAGATCCAAGTTTGTTTGTCAAGATCCTTATCGTTGAAGTTTTCGGTAGTATCTTGGGGTTGTTCGGTCTCATTGGTACGTGTTGACACTTACATTTCGATGATCCCATCCCTTATTTTGTTACATTTCAGTTGGATTACTGATGGTCGGTTCTGCTGGAGAGTTCAAAGCTGCACCTGCTTTACCTTCAGCGCCGTTAATTTCATCCTACGTGTATTAAGCTCGTTTCCACTGGCTAGCACTATGTCGTACATAGTACACACCGTTGTACTCGGTCATGCTACACCTGCTCGTAATTATTCCTTTGAAATATTTTCATGAATTAGCTCGATACACGCGCAACTGCTCGCTAAGTTAAGAAAAAAGAACTGAATTTAATCCCTTTTTAGTCTCCAGTGCATACCATGAAGGGCAAAGACAGTCGTTTTAATCCTTCTCAATGCCATGCTCTCCCATATGCATCGGAACATACAGCGGACAAAACGTTTCAGAACAAAACAATGCCAGGACCGTGGATTGAACACAGGACCTTTAGAACACGAAGAAGCCACTTCAGTCTACTGCTCTCCCAGCTGAGCTATCCCGGCGATATGGAGTGGATGATCATTGTTACCAACTATACTTTCAACTTAACCACCACAGGTTGATCATTTTTCGATTAATAAAGGACTCGCCCGAAACCAACCCAGGCCTATCCCCTACTAGTAATTCCCCTACTAGTAATTTCCCTACTAGTAATAGTATGCACCTTCAAGTAAACAGTCCAGTGTCCTATCTATAAGGGTCGGTATCAATACTGTCACTGCTGTAATTCAAGTGACAAGGTCAGCAGGGTTCTCTAGTGAACGATGCTAACACGTTTTCAGGGTCAAAAGGAGATATCACCTCCCCTCTCATTCCGTCCATGTAGTAGAGCTCAACGTTCTTACTTACCCCCAAGTGAAAGATCGAGTGAGTCCAGATTTCACTATCCATGTGTCTTGAATTTATATCCTCAACAACAGCGTTTTTGTTTTAACTAGGATCATATCCACATTCTCGAATATGAAATCTCCGCCACCACTTCCCCTAGAACTCCATGAAGTAATAATCGATTACCTCCACCTTGACAGAAAATCTCTGGCTAGTTGTGACCTCGTTTGCAAGGGTTGGGTTCCAACCTCTCGTATGCATCTTTTCCATACTGTCACGTTCACTCGTCCTCGACAATGCATTCGATTCGCCGTGAAGATGCAACATTTGGCAAAATATGTGAAGAGAATTCGGATGCAACCGACGGGATCAGGGATGAGCGGGTCGACTTTGGACAGTACACTTCTGTCGCCAGGAATTTTGCTATTGCTCACTCAAGGTGGCCAAGCCATGGAAGATACAGGATACGCTAACGAGTATATGAACACCTCATCGACCCATATCAGATGGGACGATTTGGAGGAGCAGTATGCGTCATGGACTGTTCTCCCCGAGCGATCACGGGAAGCTGCCCTTGACCGCTCTACGTTCAACAACTTTTCCGGGTTCGATATCCAATCACTCCATATCGCTGGCTCTACTCGATTACCGGATTCTAACATCACCTTACCATCTGTCCGGGAACTGTCCTTGTTTGGTGGAACGTATGCGCAGCCTTACTTCATAGATGTTGTTCGACTGGGCAAGAGTTGCCCCAACGTGAAACAGTTGAGGCTCAACTCTATGCAAATTCTCAGTGACTCGTCTTCCAATTACCTCCAACAGAAAAATACACCCAGGATTCCGCTAGAAGAAATTATTCTGGAAGGATCGTATAGTTGTTCTGAAATACAAGTCAAATTCTTTCAAAAAATCTGCGATAGAGGAACATTGAAGAAGATTGTGCTGTTGGACTTGATGAAGGGGAGTGTGAGCTTTGCGGCTGAGCTTTTGAGAGTATTGGGGAGATGTATAGAAACATTGGTGTTAGATTTAGCGAGGTTAGAAACATACGCAGATGGTTCATGTAGGTTTCACTCTATTTCTCTGGAGGTTCTCTATTTATCTGAAAATCTGGCTAGCTGAAAACACCTGGTTGATACTCATGCATTCACAGTATATGCCTAATATTTCGACCATCCGTTTGAATATTCCAGCCGTCATAATCTTGGCTCCATATTCTGTCCGGCGAAGATTGACGAACTTCTTGTGGGATTCTGTTGGAACCATCCTATCAATACTCTGTGGTGAATCTGTGAGGACCATATCCGATATCCCCGACACATGCTTGAACATCCGGAACATCATCCTCGCCATTATCCCCCAGTATGAAGCACAAGACAATTACCGTGTTTTGGAAGGGCAACTTGACCATTCTAAATGGCCGATGTTGGCCAATAGTTTCAAAAGATTTTTATCGAACGGTTCATTCCAAATGGTCAGATTTGCTTTAAGGTCTCCGGAAAAGGATAGACAAGAACAAACGAAAGCGTGGGGCTCTGACGAAAGGAGAGATGTCGACGAAAATTTGAGAACTGTCGGGGATACCATGGGCGAACGAATCAAGACAGAGTTAGATTTCCTATGGGAGTTGGGAAAGTTGAAAATCTGATATTTAGGCATTACTCTACTATGCTTCCCGTGCCGATCTAACTAGTACCTTATTGAAGTATCCCAGTCGTTGGGTATCCGCCGACAAGTTGTATTACTACTGCTACTGATCTAATCCAAATATTCAGACTGTATTTCTCCCTCGCCATTCATATATTTACACCATGAATAATGGATATGCCCGCCTAGCTCAATCGGATAGAGCGTCAGACTCTTATGGAGGGCATCTGAAGGCTGCGAGTTCGACCCTCGCGGTGGGCTAATTGTTTTGATTCCACTCCCATCCCACACACTTCCGACTCAAAGCACGGATACCCCGTCGACCATTCTTACCTTTTCCATTATGCGTATGAGTGTCAGTGACGTAATTTTTTTTAGTAATAGTAATAGCTCCTGTCTAAGACTCTTTATCACCGTTGTTAACAGATTATCGTCTGAATGACTTACAGTTTCCGAGTCTCTGTCCACTTTCCGGATCTGTGGCTACTTGCACGGAATATTATCTGAGAATTCACAAGAGTTACTTCCCAGATTCAAAGTATCTGATGGCCCCAAGGAGTCAACGGCATGGCATGCAGAAATTTAGAGAATACAGTGACCAAATTACCCGAATATATTAATAACTATGATATCTACTGAATAATCTTGTGTTATAGGTCCCGCTCCATGGACGATGATGCATGATCAATTATATCTACATGTTACACATAGTATTAGATCCTTCAAGTTTGAGCACAATGCATCCGATCCTTCAAGAAAGCTCGACGTAAACGCGACACAGAACCCAATATAGCAAATCAGAGAGTATGATCTGCAATGGAATATTATTGACGAGACAGAGTCACCAAATGTTTCGCAAATACATATATGATATATAGTAATGGTAACATACCTCGAATTCTCGCATCTGATTGGATGCATCCCCCAGATTGAATGACTCTAACAACACCTCCCCGAGCTGTCAACCTAGGCAACATTCCCGATAGATATTGAAGATGTCCATCTGCTATACTCGAAGCTTCGTATGTAGTGTAAACGACCTTGATTGTCAACTGCATTAGGTCAGCATATCGCTCTTCTAAACATTTATCGATACTCTCCGGTCCTGAGAGATCATCGGGGCCACATTGAATGTCATCTAAAAGATACACCGAATCAACCTCCATCTCTAGTACGAGTCTCTTTATAAACTTCGGGGTGGTTGGGAGTGCCAGGATGCGGGGTATTGAAAGCATCCATTCAGGGAGATCGAATCGTATTGATATTCCGGAAGCTCTGAGAACAAAACCTAATTCTTCCAGTGAGGTACAACTGGACAAATTCAGCCATTCCCATTCATTTTCATCTATAACAGAAGATCAGGTCAGCGATCGATGAAAGATCCTCTTCAAAAGGATGGATTTCAAGCCTGAGGGGAGATTAGATTCACTCACAAATAAGACCAATGTCTTTGTTGAATTGATATGTAAAATGTGTAAGGTTACTTCCAGCTTCTTGAATTAATGGTAGAATTTGGTCTAT